ATGATCGAAACTCATCTCGCATCTCATTCACGATCGCCTGCAGTGTGCTCATCTGGGTGGTCATTTGCCCAATGTAGTCGTACATGCTAGTCATATGGGTGGAAATCTGGCCCATGTAGTTGTACATGCCATCCATGCACTTCCCAAGAGGTCGACCATTTACTATAAAAGGTCAACCGCGTCATTGAACCTCACAAAACTGAAACGGCATATTAGGTCGACCTAAAAGTGCATATTAGGTCGACCTAATTCTATATAAGATCGGCCTAAAAGTGCAAATTATAGTGACATGCTCACATGCATGTCAACCATAGGCATACCCTATATTTTAACTAAAATGAAAGTTGTAAAAAAATAAGCTAATTTACCGGGTAAATAAACTCCAACCATGGACACAATCCAGAAGCTTTGGATATCCTTTTTCTAGTGCCTTTCATTTAATTAACTTACCCTTATTATCCAGCTATCCTCTTCAAGTTCCATACGATGATGGAAGCCCCTACCACTCCCAGGGCCCACGCGAATCTTAACCAAATATGCCAACAATCTCAACGACCCAGAAATAGGCAAAAACAGCAAAATATCTTTTTTCATGTGGTGAAAAACAACAAAATATCTTTGGCGAACAGAAAGCAGTACTTACTGCCTGGCCCATCAATCATTCATTACACCTAAAATAGGACAAACTTACTTTCATATGATTAGTATACGTGATAGTAATTAAGTAGCCTTCCTTCCTTTTCTTGCCCTTCTCCTTTCTTACCACTTTTGCCCATCTCCCAAGTCCACCCAATTTCCTTTTCCACCAATCATTCCTGAATTTTGGGCTTATCAACCAATTGGTCACTATAGATAGTGGTTCGCTTGACATAGGAGCGAACCACATCTGAAGAGATCGAATTGCGTTCAAAACGAGCGAGAAGCTATAAAATGAGTACGATTCACAACTTACCCCAACAAAACACTCTTAATCTAGGTTCAGAACTTCACTCGTTAAAATTTGTCTCAATCCGCACCCTGTAGCCACACCCTAATTGGGTTCAGAACCAGTCCTAATCTGGTCTTATTTACTCGTTAGTATTTGTCTCAATCCACGCCCTGTAGCCACTTCCTTCTAGGCATCGACAACAAATCAGATGGTATGGGTTCTCTAATCCACACTTAATTATGTGACTAAATGTTACATAATAGAGATAACTAATAGTATATTATTATATATGTATTAGGTATCTCAAACTTCGATGCCAATTTCGTTATATAACTAAATTTGTTGAGTACTTATGTGCTACCGTGTTAGTAAACACAAACTTTAGTTTTTATTATAATCGATCCCTCTGTTCCTAATCACAATTTCCATTTGGACCCCAATCTTATTCTCTCTCTTCCTTCTGGCGATCGCAAGGCTGTCCCCGGTCCCTAAAATAATATATATTCTCGCCATTTCTCCCCACCCTGTTTTAACATCATTAAAACAATTTTTTTTTTTAAAAGTCCCCTAGAAATGGTCATCGGCGGCGATGTAAACGGCGGCGTCGGAGACACGTGGCCGGAGAACCACCAGCTGGCGGCGGAGGTGCCGAAGAAGCGGACCGGAAGAAAGGTTTTCAGGGAGACGCGCCACCCGGTGTACAGGGGCGTCCGGAGCCGGAAAGGCGACAAGTGGGTGTGCGAGCTCCGCGATCCCCACACCGCGACACGTGTCTGGCTCGGCACCCACCCGACACCTGAAATGGCGGCCCGAGCACATGACGTGGCGGCACTGGCCTTCCGCGGGAAATCCGCTTGTCTGAACTTCGCCGACTCTGCCTGGCGCCTTCCCCGCCCGGCTTCCACCGTGGCCGAGGACGTCAGGAGAGCCGCCGCGGAGGCGGCCGAGATGTTCCGCCCTGCGGTGGAGGAGGCGGCGAGGTTGCAGTCGGAGGTGGCGGAAGGCCTGTGTCCACCGTCGGCGAGCTATGGAGTAGTGGCGGAAGGGAGTGACGAGTGGGGTTACCTGGAGAGCTGCGACATTATTACTGACCATGATTGGTCGTCGTGGAATTAATTATTGGGTCGATCGATGTATGTATGTATAGCCTGGTTTTGAGATATTTGTGGACCCAGGTTGTAAGAAAATATTACAGTGGTTCACATGGTTTCTTTTCCTTTTCGGTCGTCTTTTGCCGCCTTCCCAATGTTTTATGGGATCACTCTAGTGAGTTGTGTGGCCAATGGCCTGAAATTGGTTATTTCATGTTTGGTTTGGTTCCCGTCTTTCCGAAACCGTGAATACTAATCCGTATCACTTGTTACCCACTTTGGTATGGTATCACGTAGGGGTGGGCATCCGGTTCGGGTTCAACTCTTCGAACCGACCAGAACCGAAGCCGAACCGACCGAAACCGAAATTTAAATTGATCGGTTCGGAAATCGGAAGGCAGAAGCTCATGTTTCGGAAACCAGGGTCTGCCAACCGAACCCGAATTCCGATAGACCGAACCGAAAACCGAACTAAAATAATCAACTCATATTTTAAATGAAGCCCACTCTCTCACAACCCAAAAATGAAGCCCACTCTCTCACAACCCAAAATGACTGCCCAGACACCCAATTCCCCTCTCTACTGCAAGCCCAGCCCACTTACTAACTCTAAGAGCCCAGCCCACCCTAAATTCCTAACCCTAATAGACTCCCATCTCTGCTCCTCCTCAACCCAATCGAACCCCTAGCAGCCGCCGACTAGAATCATCATTCCCACTGAAGGTGGAATCTTCCCTGACCTCCGATCGCGACCTTTTTTCTCCAATTGCGACTTGCGGCTGACAACCATCGAAGAAGAGAACAAGCTGAGTTCTCCCTCTAAGTTGTTGTCCCTGTCTTCGGAGCTCGAATCAGCGGCGACGCCGCACTCTTGTGGTTGGAGGCGGAGAGCGGAGGCGAGCATGAGACAGATCTCGTCTTCTGCAGATTCTTCCCGGAGAGTGAGAGACACTGAGGAGGGAGATAGTGGCGGCGGAGAAGGGGGATAAGCGGAGCGAGTTGTAGAGGCGGAGATCGAGGGAGAGCGGAGATGCCAGAGAGATAAGTCGGAGACTGATGGAAGGAGAGAGTGGAGAGGCCAGAATCGGAAAGAGGGTTTGGTGGAGAGGTTGGTGGTGGTAAAAGGTGGAAGAAGTTGCAGAGATGGAGAGGTGGAAGAGGAAGAGGATGTATGTCTTTTGGGTAGAGAGAGGAAGTAGCGTACAGAAAAAAGTGGAAAGCAGAGGAAGAAAAGAGGAAGGCAGGGGAAAGTTGTGGAACTTCGGTTTTGTCGGGATCCCGAACCGAACCGAAATATAACTCGGTTCGGCCAAACCGAACCGATTTATATTTCGGTTCGAGTTCGGTTTCACATATAGAGAGATCGGAGGACCCGGTATGCTCATTTTCGGTTCGGTTTCGACCGAACCGAACCGATGCCCACCCCTAGTATCACGTCCGTTTTTACACATGTGTAACTCTTCTCTTATTGGTTTAACTTACCATAGAATAGTTTATCCACCATGAGATTGATCAATTGGGCATATTAATCCACACACCATAGAATAGTTTATCTTCATACCCATATCCGAATTGTGGCAGGTCGGGTTCAGCTCATGTAATTTATCATGCGGCGCAGGTCGGGATAGGTCGATCCAATGTGTATGTAATTTATATGGAAAGCATTAGAAATATTCGTTATTTTCATTATAAGACCAAGAAACAAATCATAATATGGTAAAGTTTAGTTAAATTATTGGCAAAATTGCGGCTTTCACTAATTTACAACTTTATAATAGCTAAAATATGATGTAATAAAAGGAAAATCCTAAGTAATTTGACTAAAATTACATATAATTTAGACAAGAATGAGACATGTCACGACCAATGGCGGATCCAGGGGGTGGCCACCCCAGGCCTCGACCCAGCCCTCCTCTGGATCCGGAGTCAGGATAATCCTTATGAATTTGTCGTTTTAGTCATTCAGTCCAGTGTTAGTTTATAATATGATTGTGTATAACTGGAAAATTTATTCAAAATAACATATTCGAATCACTACTCTAAATTTAGCATAGAAATTCCAGCCTCAAAGGTTTTTCGTCTAAAAAAAACAATGAAAACTAAAAAATTCTAAAGTCTAAAGCGTAAAAGACTAAAAGAAATATGAGGTTTGTTCCCTTGAAAATTTACTAGAGCAACATGGTGGATATATGGATGGACACACAGTGCAAATATATTGATTATTCAATTGATTTGTCTAGTGTTGATGCTGCCCGTTTCAACAGCTACCAAGAAGATAACATTTTCAACAATGAAACATGTGAAAATAGATTTGCGCAACAAAATGAGCGATGAATTTCTGGCCGATTGCTCAAGTATTTTATTTGAAACATAGTTGGTATGCATGTAGACTCCATTATTGATGCATTCGCTAAATTAAAAGACCGTCATGTACAATTGAGATTGTAAAAAAACTATAATCATAATTTTTTTTTTACGATATATAATTTTCTAATGGAATGCGGCCCAATACTCTACTGTGTTCTGAATCCGTCACCGGTCATGACAGATCATATCGAAATTGCCACCCTTACCTTACCAAAAATAGGAACCAACCTTTATTTCCATTTTGTTGGTAGAATATTTCCTTTTTCTTTGATTGTAACTGAGTAAACCTTTATTTTCTTCCTTTCCTTTACTTTCCTCTTTTGCCACTCTTCCGAGCCCAGGTACTTATTTATCATGGGAGAATTACAATAGAGATCACTAAAATTAACGATTCTTCGGACATTGGCCACCATGCTTTTAGTTCAAAAAATCAAGTGACGGACTTGTTATCAAATGAGAAATCCAATGACGGTTTCCAGAGTTGAGTCACTCCTTGCTTGATTCATTCTGTTTCCTCTTCCTTATAAAATCCCCGCCAATTCTCCCAATTCAATTTATAATATAAAAATCCCAAACACAACAACTCCCTACCTAGCTAAAGTGTTGGATCGGATATGGTCTTCTTCGGCAGTGAGCAGCTCCACTACTCCGACTCTCCCTCGCTCTCCCCACAGTCCGACGGTGACATCAGCATCGGAGAAGCGACGCCGCCGACGGAGGATCGTCACGATCACGGCCACCACCAGCTGGCGGCGGAGGTGCCGAAGAAGAGGACGGGGAGGAGGGTTTTCAGGGAGACGCGCCACCCGGTCTACCGTGGCGTGAGGAGCCGGAAAGGTGACAAGTGGGTCTGCGAGCTCCGCGAGCCCGTCACCGGGACACGTGTCTGGCTCGGAACCTACACCAACCCGGAAATGGCGGCCCGAGCCCATGACGTGGCAGCTCTGGCGTTCCGCGGGAAGTCGGCCTGCCTCAACTTCGCCGACTCCGCCTGGCGCCTCCCCATCCCGATCTCACCCGGCGCCACCGACGTCAGGAGGGCGGCGGCGGAGGGCGCCGAGATGTTCCGCCCGGCCGCGGCGGCGGATGAAGAGGAACGTAGCATTCGCAGTACTACTACTACTGCGGCTGATGACGAGATTGATGACGTGTACAGTAGCTGTTATGTGGAGGAGGGGGAGCTGGAAGTGGTGGATCTGCCGAGGTTGCTGTCGGAAATGGCGGAAGGGCTGTTGCTGTCGCCGCCGCCGAGCTACGTGGAGAGCTGCAATGCCGAAGAGCGTGATTGGTGGCTGTGGAATAATTAATTAAAGTTTTCTACTGTAGTTGGTGGGTTGAGATATTTGTGGGACTTCATATGATACGAGTGGCCTTGGTTTCACTTGCTCCTGTCCTACATTTGTTTTTGTGGGGACTTGGGATTGGGATAATATCTTTCTTGTTTCCTTGAGCATTTTGTTTGTGATGAGTGAAGCTTTCAAGGGAAAGGTGTGATCGATATATATTCATATGGGTTCCATTCTTTAATTATGACTTTTAGTGACTAGACTTACCTATGGTTTAAAACGGTGAATTAATAATCGAAAAGAAAGAGCATACTAATACAAAGAATTAGAAAGGGTTAATATATATTGTATAACCCAAGTTTCACACATATTAAACATTCTAGCTAATCTTTTTCCACCTATAGCAGCCAACTCAGCACAATCATTTTTAAAATGTTCTTTTTTAATTTCCTTTTACTTCTTTTGGAAGGTATGTTCTAGCTGACCTTTTTAATTATTTTTTCTTTTTTTTTTCCTTCTTTTGTTCAAAATAAAAAAGATAAATGGTAATAGCTAGGTGGAAAAAAAAATTAAGTGTTTTGAGATGACATGGCCATGACATGGCGAGTTGACCATTAGTCAACACATTTGACCGTCCAAGATAACAATCAACTCTCGGGTTTGAACAATTTCATAACTGTGATGCATAATTGAGGCCACGAAGTTATAAATCGAAAAAATACGTCAAGATATCTAATATGTGTAAAGTTCGGATCATACAAATATATTAACCCATTTACAAAAGCCCCTCCTTGAGTACAGGAAGGATAAAAAATTAAAAAATAAACTGATGAGGCGGCATCACAGAGATATATAGAGGCTATGAAGATAGTTTGCCCAAATTGACATTAATCCAGGGATTTCATGAGAGTTCTTGTGGTAGTACATATTTCGGGTACGCTTTATAATGTTTCTAGTCTATTTTAAGAAACTTTCTGTCAGTTTTACGAGATTTTTAGTTGTGCATCGTTGAACTTGTGGCTTGCTTTTAGAGGTTTATGGTATGCTTAAGAAATTTGTGCTTAGCTTTATGAGCATTTTGGTTTGTTTTTGAGGACTTGAGGTTAGCTTTGAGTTTACATGTATGTTTTTATGAATTTTGTGGTGTGGCGAGATTCTAGTATGTGTTTATAAGTTTTCTGGTCTACTTGTGGTCGTCATGATACTTGTGGTCGTTGCCAACTGAGAATGAGAAGCGGAATAAATGGGCAACGCCCATATGTGTGTTCCCCCCACCCCAAAATTTCTAACATCAATAAGCGTGCTCCTCGCTTTGGTTTTAATTGTAGTGACGCCCTTAAATTTAAAAAGTTATATAAACGAAATGTTTCATTAGCTATACGAGGAGATACATATTAAAGAGGATATGGTTTTTCTTGTGGTCACCCCCTTATATATATAACCTTCTCTAGATGACCTAATCCCAATCCCGCATAAACAGAGAAAAGTTACGAACCATTTGAAATAGAGCGGACAGAGAAATCATCTGCCAAAGTTCGGTATGAACAAATAAATTTTTATTACAAATCGTCCAAAGTTAGTGTGATTCTCCAAAATTTTATTTAGTATGGGGAGGATTTTAATTTATTAGGCAACGCTATAACAATGCAAACATAAATTAATTAAAATAACAGTTTCTGTGCCCATTGAAAATCTCACCTATACTTTATTATCAATATCTCAGCTGTACCAATTATTATAACCAAAAAGAGGTAAATTTGGTGACGGTCCCCAGCACTGAGTGGCTGACCCGCCACAACAACCAAAAATAGGAACCCGCCTGCTTTCCCCGAAATGGGTTCACACTTGGACGATTCATATTTCATGATACTACCATTTTCCTTTGCTTCTCTTTTCAAACCTTTTTTTTCCGATAATGATAATAATTATAATAACCGAATTTAATATGATGTCCCAATTACATAATGAAATGAACACCAAATGCTTGTGGTCGGTAACTAATGGGTCAATGCGTTTTAATTTCTAACAAATTCGCCCGTGGAAATAACTAATATACTTGCCACTTTATATTAGTTTGGGGTTACTGTCTGTTTAGGAAGTTTGTGGACTAGGTGTGATATTGTGTACTCCTACGTAGACGATTTTGAACCAAGTAACTGTGAACAAATTAGTGTCGTTTCTTGTTTGTTTGTTTGTTTGCTTGGTTTTTCTTTTTCCTGGGTCCTTCTCGGATTCTTGTTCTTTATCTTCTTCTTGGGGGGAGATAGAGTCATAGAGCTGCTTGTTGTCGTGCCCATAATAATACCTTCTTCTTTTCTTTCTTTGTTTGTTTTGGTTGAAGTCTTGAACAGCAAGGCATGATATATAGGGTCAGTGTCCACTGTCCAGTGCTTTCTTAATTATGAGTTATTATTATTATTATTATTATTATTATTATTATTATTTAGACTCAGCTTCTTGTTTACATTTACATCCGTTTATCATTTAGACTCAGCTTCTTGTTTACATTTACATCAGTTTATCATTTTTTTGTAACTCCTTACCGATCGTAGATTTATTTTTTATTTTTATTATTTTTGTACAACTTAACCAACCATTACAATCAGAGCGCAATACATTTTGTACTCTTTCACGTCCTATTTTGATTCGCATATCCCAACAACATCACAAATTACATTATAAAGATAAGGTTATATATAATTGTAGTGTACTCTGTCATTTAGTTTGTGGTAGTGTTGATGTGACTTGAATCGGACTATCTGTCGCTACGAATAGAAGTCACGGGGTCTCGCTGTCCGGTCAGCGAGTGGGGTCCAGGGGCAACGCCCCGGTCAGGGGGTTAGAGGGAGCGATGCTTCACCCGATCCATGGTGTATGGGTCGATATACGTTTGGGTTGTCAGTTTTAGGCCTGGTCTGTAATCGTTTCCTTTACTAGATTGGATTAGGTTGTAGACCCACATGGAGAAGTATAAATGCTTCTCTCATCTCCTCTGTAATCTGTAATCTCCTCGAAGTATAGTGAAACTGGCTCGCTCCTACCTGTGGACTAGCTAACAGACATCATGTTAGTGAACCACGTAAATCGCGTGTCGTGTTCCGTTTTTTATTCTCGCTTTCGTATTCTTACTTTCTTGCTTTCGACATTTTCCTGATCCGTAACAGCACAGTTATAACAGTTAGGATACCCTTGTGCATGTCTTTAGCTATCAAGATCGAGTTATTTACATGCTACTAAAAGGAAGTATGCAAACCTGTAGAGGGGGGAAGTGGGAGCCACTGTGAAAATGCATGTTTTGTTTCTAATTATACTAAGTACAAGAAATACAAATTTTTATGGAAAAAAATATAAATCTCTAATAAATTATTGAAATCTTCGTTCAGACGACTGACTTATGAATAGATTATTAAACTTATACTTGCTAGTAAGAAAACATAATAAAGGACTAACGACAACAAACCCAACCTAGTGATGATACAATCTAGAATGTTGGACATTCTTATCTTACCCTTATCCTCTCATCCATCCAAGTTCCATATGATATGAATGCTTGAATCCAAAATGGGAGCTAGGAGGACCCTCTCTCTCTCTCTCTCTCTCTCTCTCTATATATATATATGAATGAGCCAAATAAGCAAACAGTTTTCTCAACGTCGACGACACTCGACAGTGAAAATTGGTAAAAAAAAACAAAACATCGTTGGGGAAGAGAAAGCAGTACCTACTACTTAATTAGTACTTCCTGGCTGGCACATCAATCATTCATCACACCGAAAACAAGAACCAACCGTTCGTTCTTTCACGTGATTATTCATTAATAAATTTGACAGCAAGTAGCCTTCCTTTTGTTTAATTTCCCCCTCTCGTTACTTACCACTTTTGCCCATCTCCCAAGTCCACGTATATTTCTCTACATAGAATCATTAATCCTTGACAATGTATATATATATAATGTAGAAGATAACCATAGTAAAATATTGTTACATAACTGAACCGTCTGTCCCTCAAAATAATTTCTATCTGGACCCCCTAATTTTATTCTGTCTTCATCCGACCAGCCTGGCAAACTAGCTCTTACCTAGCTCTTTCCTTCTCCTTGCGTATGGCTATTGGCTATGGCGTCGATCGAAGGCGCGTCCCCAATCCCTATATATGGCCGGCCATGTCCCCCAAATCAGTTCTAACATCATTCAAGTACGTAGAAAAGTACCCTAATGTTCACATACGTTCATCTTACAGCCATGCTCATCCCTAGCGTCGTCCAACGCCGGCGTCGGAGAACCACCAGCTGGCAGCGGAGGTGGCAAAGAAGCACACCGGAAAAAATTAAAGGGTGTTCAGGAGAAGCGCAACCGGTGTCCGGAGCCGGAAAGGCGACAAGTAGAGTGGGCGTGCGAGCTTCGTGATCCCAACACCTGCTGCTGTGTCCACCTTTGGTGTGTGTTCCTAAACGGTACACGATCTATCATCTCATAACAATTTGAATTATTGAAATCAACTAATTTCTGATATGGTATCAGAGCACTTCTGTGATCGAGGGGGGTCTAGATTGAAAGGGTCTAGTGTTCGAATCTCGATGACTTTCTTAATTAGCATATGATATTCATATTTGTGAAAACTGTGAGTCCGCTTTTGTTTGGAGATGTGTTGGTAAATAGTATATGATTCGTAGTTGAACCTCTCACAACAACTCGAATTATTGGTATCCGACGGAAGGAGTTAGCCAGAAATCGAGGTGAAATCTGCAATGTCATTGCTGACCATGATTGGTCCTTGTGAAATTAATTGGTCAGCACTATAGATCGATCATCGATGTCCAGCTAGCTGGTTTGAGATATTTGTGGGGAGTAGTACTAAGATCGACGGTGAAGCTTAAAGCAGGATGAGTGGCCATGGCTTGTTTGCTCAGAATTAAGGTGGACCTAAGCTGTAAGAAAATAAGTGGTTGTGGTTCACATGTTTCTTCCCAGCGTTTTATGGGACCTGTGATGGGAGGGAAAGCGAATCATAATAATATCTTC